AACTGCGCAACGGTCGCCACTTTCGTCGGCTCCAAGGATGCACGGCGCAGTAGGGGAGTACGCACACCATTCAAGACATCGCAGCTCCCTGGGGGCTGCGAACTGCGCAACGGTCGCCACTTTAGTAGGCTCCCGGGAGGCTCGGCGGAGTAGGGGAATCTGTTGACCCAGCCGAGATTTCGCAGCTCCCTGGGGGGCTGCGAACTGCGTAGCCGTCGCCACTTTCGTGGGCTCCCAGGAGGCACGGCGGAGTAGGGGAGCACGCACACCCAGCCGAGACTTCGCAGCTCCCTGGGGTATTGCGAACTGCGCAACCGTCGCCATTTTCGTGGGTTCCCGGGAGGCACGGTGAATTTTAGGAGTACGCACACCAGCCGATTCTAGGGCCTTATTTTAGGGTTTAGAGCTTAGGGCTTTGGGCTGAAGCCTTGGAGCTTGGGTCCTAGGGTTTAGGGCTTCGGGTGTTAGGGCTAAGGGTTTAAGGCTGACGGCTTAGGGCTTAAGGCTAAGGGATTAGGGTTTAGGGCTTAGAGCTTAGGGCTCAGGGTTTTTGAGCTTGGGGGTGATATTCCAGATGTTAGGGCGTTGGGTTAAGGTGCTATGGTTAGGGGTTTAGGCTTGGGGTGTTAGCTTTAGGGTGTTAGGCTTAGGGTGTTATAGTTAGGGCGTTAGGCTTCGGGGGGGTAGGGTGTTAGGGCCAGGGTTGGTAGCGTTAGGGTGTCAGGGTTGGGATTCCGGTGTTAGGGTATTGTTTTTGGGGGGTCAAGGTGTTACGCTTCGGGTGGTAGGTTTTGGGTTAGGGTGGTAGGGTTCGGAGTAAAGTGTTAGGGCTAGGTAGGGGTAGAGTGTTAGGGTGCTGGTATTAGGGTTAGTGCGGTAGGGTTCGGTTCAGGGTGTTAGGGTTAGGGTTTACGGCTCAGTGCGGTAGGGTTCGGGTTAGGGTGTTCGGATTAGGGTGTGTGTATTCGGGTGTTAGGTGTTTAGAGTTCGGGTGTTTGGGTTTGGGTGTTTGGTTTAAGGTGTCAGGTGTTTGGGTGTTCGTGTTAGGGTGTTCGGGTTAGGTGTTTAGGGCGGTGGGGTCAGGGGGTAGGATTCGGGAGCTAGGGGGGCGGCGTGGCCAAAGGTGGGGAGGGGGGGTCCGATTTTCGAGTCCAAGGGGGGGGGATTCAAACCCCCCCGCCCGAAAGGGAGCGCGGGGTGTTCTGGGACGACGGATCGGGAAAGGGAGGGGGTCCCGGGGCGACGGACCAGGGAGAGGGGGAGAGGGTGGGGGGGGGTCCCAGACGGTCGAATTGGAAACACCGGTTTGATGGTGCATACGCCGGTCGAAGTCTGAAGTGTGTCCCAAGACGGTCTCGAACTTTGGTGAATGGCAACCGGAATGCCCTCGTGAACAGCGCCCAAACGGCAATGCCAAACCTCACGGGCACTGATTGCGAATCGAATGAAGTTTTCCCCAGTCAAACTGGTTGATTCCCTTGTCCGTTTTTCTAAATCGTGAGGAATCTTACTCGTCGCAGAGAGGCATTGTTCAGGCCTCTTGGAGACTGTTAGGAGGCCTCTAAGAAGCCTCTGAAGCCTCTGAGAGGCTTCTAAGAAGCTTCTAAGAGGCTCCTCAGAAGCCTCTAAGAGGCTTCTAAGAGGCTTCTAGGATGCCTCTGTGAGGTTCTACGAGGCTTCTAATCGGCTTCTACCAAGTTTTTGAGAGGCTTCTAAGAGGCCTGCGTCTGAAAGGCTGCTAAGAGGCCTCTAAGAAGCCTCCAGGAAGCTTCTAAGAAGCCTTTAAGAAGCCTTTACGAGGCTTCTGAGGGACTTCTTTTAGAGGCTGTAAGAAGCTTCTGAGGAGTCTCTTAGAGGTTTCTAAGAGGTTTCTAAGACGCTTCTAAGAAACCTCTAAGAAGCCTCTAGGAAGCCTCGTGGAGGCTTAAAGAGACCTCTAAGAAGCCTCTAAGAGGCCTCTAAGAGCCCCTTGCGAGGCTTCCCAGGGGCATCATTAAAGGCCTCTAGAGGCTTCTTTTTAGAGGCCTCTAGAGGTCTGAGAGACCTTATAGAGGCTTCTCAGAGGCCTCTTGGAGGCCTCTGAGGGGCTTGTTAGAAACTTCTAAGAGGCCTCCCAGAGGCTGCTGATAAGTTTCTACGAGGCCTCAAGGATGCTTCTACGAGGCCTCTTACGAGGCCTGTACGATTCTGTTATTTTCCCACAAGCGATTGATCATGATATCATGCTAACTATTGCTGCTGCAGCTAGTTAAAGTAGTAGTAGTAGTAGTAGTAGTCGTAGTCGTAGTCGTAGCCGTAGTCGTAGTCGTAGTCGTAGTCGTAGTCGTAGTCGTAGTCGTAGTCGTAGTAGTAGTCGTAGTAGTAGTCGCAGTAGTAGTAGTCGCAGTAGTAGTAGTAGTAGTAGTAGTAGTAGTAGTAGTAGTAGTAGTAGTAGTAGTAGTAGTAGTAGTAGGCGTAGTAGTAGTAGTAATAATAATAGTAGTAGTCGTAGTAGCCGTCG